GGAGTGCCATCGAGTATATATTTCAAAAAGGGGTAGGCATTTTCCTTTCCATAGTAACTTTTACACAGAAATGGTTTGGTTGAACGCTAAACAAGATGCCTTTAACAGTGAGCCAACATCAATTCGATTGTAGGGTGAACCCACGTATTTTTTCCTACCAAGGTTAGGGGTTAACTGCAAGTTTAATCACGTTAGTGGACACTTACAAAATTTATAAATATGCTGAGGTAAATGTCGGGCTTTACTTTCCTATTATAAAAACGTCCTCCAACCAACTTATTCCCCATCAAGAAAAAAAACTACTACGTGTACCGGGGGGGGGGCACCCGGGGGTGCACATTTTTTTTCAAGGGGGATCCAAGAGACAACAAGTTGTAGCAACACAGAGGGTTGTTCATGGATTTCAAATGGGGGGGGGGGGGGAAACGTCCCCCCGTAGTTACGCCACTGCTACAGAGTAGGGTCTCGGGTGCGATTCCGTTCATTTTAACAAGATTAGCCCCACCTTGCCGCGCGTTGGGTTCATAGTATTCGCCCGCCAGCAGTAACCCCACTCCGAGACCCAGACCGAGGGAAAATATCGCAGGAACTGTGCTTGCCAGTCTTTTACTACTGAGAGGAACGTAAACCCCAGGGGTACTGAGGATGCACCCCCCAACTCTTGACTGGAGATCCTCCCCACTTTTTTGTTGTGCCGGAGAAACAAAAACTGCAAATATTGCAGTGTAAATACAAAGTACTAGCTTCTGACATTTCCACGACCTGGCAAATATTTTTAGGACTTTGATCATTCCAACAGATTTACGCCACTGGATACTTGAAGATATTATTTCATAATAACAAAGCGACACGTTCTATTTTGCAAGTGCTGCCTCGTTCTTACTGTTCCGATCCAGCGCAGCATGTGGTTCTGGAACAGGCCACCCTGCCGGTATTAAATTATTAGTAAGTTAGGTGGTTCAATTTTCGTCATACAAGCACCAGACGACTGATACCGAGGAATAATATCGTTGACCGAGTCTGGGGATACGTCTAAGTAACATTATGACTTTGTTCAGTGACTCGTACCATAACAACAGTATTGGAGAAGGTTTTGGCACGCGGTGCGTGCATAGTTGCGTGCACAGTGATGATGATGACGGTGCCTGATATTTGACTTTTGATTCTAAAGTTCAGTCTTCCTGGTCGTTTTCTAAAAATGGGAAAGTGGTATGTGTTTATGATTTTCATAATAGCAGTCTGTGAGATTGGGAAAGTAGACCTTAAAAAGGTCAGTTTTGTAGGTTCTATTCATAATTCTACATCACGACGGCGTTAAACCTGATTATGAACGCTGACCTACCGCAGGCCTACGCAGGGCCTAGAGTTCCGTGATAATCTTCCGTATCCGGTCACCACTTTAGGCTTAGACCTCATGCACAACCACAGGTCAAAGTCCTGTGAATCATGGTAGAATTTTTATTCCCAAATTAACGTTAATGTTTCTTCTTCGGATTTACAATTTTGGGTAGTTTCCACAATCACACTCCAGTTAGGAGGAACAACACGTGGAGGTGACTGGTCTCTGCTGATCTACTACACTGAATGTGGCCAGACCATGTGGCAACTCTATATAGGGGGGAGCTGGGGCTTAAACAAGTCATGGAGAAATAAATGTTTTATTTCTCCATGAACAAATAAACAGGGGGGGCACACTACTAGAAAAAAATCAAAAAACTCTAAACTAAAGCTGAACATTTTAAAACGGGAACTACTTCTATGTAAAAACGTGTATTTAATACCATAATCATTTCCAGCTCTGCCACATAGTAAATACCACTTTCTCTCTGTATCAATGTAAATTGTAGCTAAGGTGCACCTATAACTTTATCACCTGTAACACAAACACCTACATGTATAGCAGAGATTGTATAGCGCCACGTAGCGGCGCAAGATGGGTAATTCGGCCATAAAGGTGTTATCACCATGGGCGCCATTCGAGTGTGAACGTTAATGTGTGTGCGTGCCTGTCGCTGCGCCTGTGCCTGCGCATTAACATGCACTGCGCAGGCGTAGTCCAACCAGAATGGCGCCCATGTGATAACAACGTTTCACGATTGTACGCGGCGCTATACGATCTTTGATGTATAGTGTACAGTGTCAGACTATAAAGCCAAAATGATGATCCTGGAATTTTTAACTCCCATCAGGGAAAAATCAGGGAATTTTGTTCCCATGAAATGCAGGGAACCCTGTCGTAGAAACAATACAATAAATCACAACGTATTTATAACAAAATCCCACACAGCTATTCAAAAAATTGAACCAATAAATACAAAATGAAAATACAAAAATTTTACCGTAATTACATGTACATCCCACTGTAGCTTGCATGGGACTAATAGGCACTTTTAATTTAATATGTACAGTCAAATAATGAAAAGTGTACTAGATTTTATTCAAATTTAACTAGCAAAAGATTATTATTAGGCAGATTTTCCATTTACAGAGCATTTTTCTCCCAAAGTCTTCTTTCTTTTTTTTTTTTAATATTACCATATGACATGCACGGTGAACTGGATATTCTGACTTTTTTCTGTTTCGAAAGTGGTATCACACTCCCATAAGGGGATGTCCCGAGGAGTGTTTTCCTTCCCTTTGTCAAATTTGACAGATGGGAAGGGCCACATGCCCACCGTGTCCCCACCCCCAGCGAAGTGGTCATCTTCAGGGCTCTCAGTTTTGTCCATGATTGATTTCAGCTGACTCAAATACCATTCATGTCATTAATACCAATCTGAAAGAGAACACACTTAGAAATGTGGGGTCTATTGTACCACAGGAGTTTTAAAAAAAAACAAAAACAAGCTGTTTATATCTGGGAAATTTTGAACAGTAGCAGTCAGTATTTGTTCATATGATTTACAGTAAAATAACCCATAGAAAATTTAACATAGTGTTTTATAAATGAATCAACAACATTTCAATTAACGCACAAAGGTTGGAATTTTTCTAGGCATTATTTACTTTTCAATTTATTTGATTATTTTGAAAAGATTACAAACACATGCATTGAGAGTATCAGAAATTCTAACAGAGTTTGTTGGGTGAGTGAGTTGGACTTTCATGAGTCGGTCTGTTGGGAGTCAGTCTCAACATTTTGCACTGACACAAACTAAGCATCATTATGTACTTCACACAAAAGGAAGGGTAGCAAACATTATGATGCAGTGGTGTTCTACGATTTTTCTTCGTTCCAATCTTTGAAATGTGAAGTGTGAACCAAGCATTATGTTGAAGATTACCACTCAAAATTGTTATCTTTTGTCTAGATACTTTTTTCTACTTTTTCACTTCACATTTTGATGAGGAAGCCACAAGAAATGTAACTCTTACTAATATTGATTTCAGACTCCAATGAAAATGATGAAATTACCTACAAATTTTTTTGGGGGGGTGACTGGACACAGCATTCCATTGGGGATAATATGAAAGGGCCACGTAGCACCGTGATCAGAATGTAGACAAAAGTGCTCTGAATTATGTAATTGCCGAGCTTTCGGTAACTGGTTACCTTTGTCAGGGATTTTTCTGTGTTCATTCAGAACTGAATCTGCTTGCCCTGATGAAGCTACCCAGTTACTGAAAGCTCGGCAATTACATAATTCAGAGTGAAGATTATATATTATATTTTTTTATATTCCTTTGGGGGTGCCATTCATAATAAAGATGTATTTTACATGTACCAGTACTTAGGATATTTACACATGTAAATTAATGTTAATTTATGTATGAAAATGAAGTGTCCAAAGTTTTGTGCTGTTCTTCATTTTGGCTGATGGAAAGTTCAAAATAATAACAAAATTTGAATATTTTGGCACTAAAAGCATGTGTTAGGGGTTATTGAATGGTCCACCCCTCATATAAAAAGGGGAGGGGGATATCTATCCTCTGCTGGGGGATGCATAACCATGCTTTCAATGTGCCAGTCACATATTGATCTGTGAGAAGAATTGGCCCTTTTATTTGAAGCAGTGAGAAAGTCAGAGTTACATGTAATTGACGCTCGGCAATAGGAAGGGGAAAAATGTAAGAATTTATGCAAAAATCTTGGTTTGGGGGGCAAAAATCATCATTAGGTTGGACAAATCAACCTGAAAATAACCCAACTGCCCAGAAATGGACTGCATTGCATGCGGTGTAAGTGCAGAAGGGAGTACTTACATGTGTTAGCGCGATTGATGAGTCATTTAATAACCTCACCAGGATTTCAGTTTCCTCCCAAAAAGTCAGGGGAGGATAAGGCCATAGTTCCTGTCACAAAGTCACTGTCCTCTCCCCCACTTGTCCAGTTTGTCATGTTTGTACTTGGTAGTCATTCATACTGTTCTTCGACTCATTGAGAGAATTGTTGTAAGAGGCTGGTCACTGTCCTCAAAGTAAATGTACATGTACGTGTACAGGTAAAAGGTACACATGTAATTGATGGATTCACTTCTGCAGGTAAGAAATTTTGCTTTGCTTGTACATGTAGGAGAAAACAAATTTTGTCTGCAGCATGTTAAGTGTGAACAGTAACCTAAACCAGTTTCAAAACTTTCCATTAATTAACCCTAACAGTCCTCAGTCCTCCAACAGGTGAAGGATTGAGGACTGTTAGGGTTAATGGACTTGTTTAGACCATGTACATTGTACCGCTGCATGTTAAGCTCAAGCACTTTACATTGGCAGTTGAAAAATTTAAGTGTGATTTCTCATGAAAGTTTACTCTTGTCCTTTTTAATGTACATATTCATAGGTTCTTATGTACATAGCATTACTGATAGCAAAAATGTTAGTAGCAGCAGCACAGGAAATCATACATGTGCAGGACAGTGCATAGAATGAGTCCGTTCTGCATTCCTTTTCAACTACTTCTCCTTGAGTGTCCCAGTTTCCTGCCAAAAGTTACAAGCATGTTCATGTACATGTATATACTAAACACGTTACACTGTGTTTCTATGTTACATGTAAAAATACATGTAGCAGTATAGATCTGACCCTTGAATCCAAACTAGAAGCTTCATGTGCACACAACTGGGCATGTACATTAATGATGCCAATGTAGTACACCTGAACAATGCAGAGTCCACGGCATGCATTACCTCCAACTACATGTACCAAAGGTTTTAGCCGACAAGTGTTTTACTGTGGAAAAAAAATAAACAGTGGGGAGGGAATTGTCAAATCATAAAAATTGCCCACTTCAGACGTTTAGCGTTACTTTGGGGTATTTAGTCATATTGCTCCATGCTACGCACATTATAAGTTTACCAAAGGTTTCTGCCGACAGCTTTTAATTTCACCGTGGTACTTAGTATTTGGTCATGTTGCATTGTACATACATGTGATGTATGTGAACGCCAGTCTCATATTCCCAAGACGTAAAACTGCTATTTAAGCATGTACTGAAGATCCCCTAGATGTACATATGTATGCATGACCTATGTTCTAAGGTTTAAGGAATGTCACCCGTAAATGAACACAACAGTCAACACAGTCTGCATTTTAGCCAAAGTATTAACATTAAGACTAACAGTGCACGTTGCTTCATAGGCAATTTGAATCAATATCACAGTAGTGAGTTACATTTGTACATGCACCAACCATTGGTGATGATTTGTGAAGCCCATGCACCCTCACTTGTCATTCCTGGAGATTTGAGCAGACATTGTGTGGTCTGTGTATAGTCAGTGAAATGTTGTGGTTTGATTGCATCATGTACACTGTACATGTGCTGCAAGGCCACTGGCTTTGCCATTGAATTCAAGGCATGCCATTGCCTACTAAAGCAAACCATTGATGAATTTGTTGAAAGCCTGGGCTGGCTGTGTAAATGCAAGGAAGTTGTGATCATTATTGGAGAAACAAGAAATTAAGGCAAGTAATGTGAAGAGTTGATAAACTACATTCGAATGGAAAGAACCAGTCCAGCTTTTTGATATTATAGCAGTGGTGGACGTTTTATCTTTGAGAAGTTTCCAGTCTGAAGCCAGTATGAAAGCTACTTGTGCATTCACAAGTGCCACGTTTGTATTGTAAAATTGCATGTGCAAATCCTCTTTCTTGTGGTTGACAAACAGTCTGCATGATGGGTGTTTTTTCTGTTTCGTAATAATCGAAGCTGGCCTTTTATCTGCTGGAGTATGAACCGTGATGCCTGACTTTATGCAAGCCTTATGAAAAACAGACCAACATTTTCAGTTGACACGGGCGCGGGTGTATATCATGTACGTGTCAATTGAGACTTCCCATTGTCTCCCATCAGTACGAATAATTCGTGGACATCCTTGAACGGATTCCTGCCTTCAGTTTTGAAACAATGTTTCACATGCTTGTATAGGAATGGGAAAGGCCGAGTCACCCAATGACGTTGTTTGTATTTAATACTGTAGCTCCTGCAAGACCCCTGTTGAATATGGGAATATTTGAATATTCATTAGGTTCACATGGAATATTGAAATATTTCTATTATGATTTGAATATTTGTTTGTGCAGTGCAGTGAAATGGAAAGGCAAAACTCAGTTTCTTTGTAACCAGATTGCCTTCTTAGAACTTAATCCAATCATATCTTAATCCTATCTTGTAATGATTGTAATGCGTTATTTCATGTATCAGTATAAAATTGCTTCTCCGGAGGCTTGGCGCACCAAAATGTTGCCGTATGACCAAGTATTTGAATTTGCAAAATTGCAATCATATTTCAGGTCCAATGCTCAAATAATTGATTTATATGGACTTACTCAGCCCTTGCCCTAGCCATGAGCATTTTGTTGCCAGATTCCTGATTCTTCATCTTTTCATAGATGCAGGCACATTTTCATACACCACTGATGCCAAACTGAATGCTGGCAGCAGCTATGGTGGGCTTTAAACCACACTTGCAGAGCCGTCTGACCCCGTTGGACCACGGCATTGCCGGGGCCGTCAGCGGTATGGCAACCAGAGCCCTCATGCAGCCCTTTGATGTCCTCAAGATACGATTTCAGGTAGCCAGACTTTGTCACCAAGTCTTAAAGGCCGGTTCATACCGTACTTGACACAGAAGTGAGCTTGAATGTGACATACTCCATTATTTGTTTGCTGCAAACGTTTTGCGATGTCGAAATTGCTTAGCTCTGCTTGAAATGTGGAACATTGGGCCTGCCAGGGGCCAATTTCATAGAGCTGCTTAAGCACAAAAAACCTTGCTTAATAAACAAAGGTTACCAGCTCAAACGCTATGTGATTGTCATGCTAACCAAAAGACAGGTAAATACCATTCCAAAACAAAATACATCACGAGAAGTTTTGGCTGGTAACCAGATTTTTCAAGTAAGGTTTTTTTCACCCTTCAAACAGATTTTTTGCTTAAGCAGCTCTATGAAATTGGCCCCTGGATGAAGTAGCCATAGACAAGAAAGCCCATAGACATGGCCTCATTTGACTTTCTTGAAGAGTTGTTCCTTTTGGCAGTCAAACACCATTAACAAACATGTATTGAGACAGAAGTAATTGTATGCTCAAGGGACGTACATGTATTTATAGGTTACCTTTATAGGTTTTTTTGGAGGGAGGGATAATGTTTTAATACAATTACAATAATGGCCTGTTCTCAAGAAAAAGGGGGTGTCTCAAAAATGTGAACACTCCTGTTAAACCCATTTAGGAATGTTCTGTGTTACCAGGGAATAGGTCATTGCCTAGGATGTGTGTACACACAGGCATTGGCCATGGTTATCATTCCAGATCCCACGTTCCCAAGAGGAACACTGTTAGTGTTAGGTACAGGCAGTGCTCTCATTGGAATGTTCTGCAGCGTACCAACTTTTGACACACTCCCTAATGGTGGGAAAACCCACACGGTGATTTAAATTCAAATTTATTTTGGACTGTGTACATTCAAACCTGAATTTGACTGTGTTTTGTTTCCTTTGAGGATGGGGCCCATTAAAATCAAGGACTAGATAAGTTTCACAGCTGTTTATTTTTCCCGATGGGTGTTCATATCAATCGTTTGATTCGTTGTACATGTAGTTTGGTTTATGCCCACGTGGTAGCAGACATCTTGACTGATTCTTTTCATTCTCATTTGCACAGCTCCAAGTTGAGCCACTGCAGGGTCCTGGGGCATCAGTGCAGAAGGTTCCCTCCAAGTACACTGGTATCCTGCAGGCTGGGCGTACTATCTACCTAGAGGAAGGGACCACTGCATTCTGGAAGGGTCATGTCCCTGCACAGGCTCTGTCAGTCGTGTTTGGAATCTTACAGGTATTAATGCTGTAGATTTTCAGGGAATCCATTGTTTGGATGATTTTCTTATTAACCTTAACTCTGCCGGAAATCTTTTTGTTTTGTATCGCGCAGTTTACGTCAATTCATATTCAAATTGTATCAGATAGGGACAATTTTTTGGTTACTCAAATTTATCTATCGCATTAAAATTGTATCAGTGCAGGTTACAAAATTTTGTTCAATTACATGATATACAAAGTGGACGTAGGAAGCACAGAATCTGAGATGAACAAAACTCAGTGCGCAAAATTCCGAAGGGTTGTCCGAGGAATATGAATAACTTGAAAATGGCGATAGGTCAATTGTACTTATACTATATTTTATACATAACAAAAATATTTCAGTCTGAATCACTACATGTACTTGACTGATTTATTTTGTTTAAAGCTGCTTCACAGAAGCAGTACTTTTTTATTCCAAATAGACCGATTGCGCCCCGCTACATGTAGGTCACCAAAAATGATGCGATTTACTCAAAGATCAGTAGTCTGTGTATAGTAATGACTGTCAGCTTTATTTTTGATAAATTATACCCAGGACACACTTTGCTATACGGTGAGTATAGGAGGCTATACTTGCTATGTTTGATGATGTTTGATACCCACTATAGGTCACATGTTTCAGCAGGTGCAATTGGTCTATTCAAGCGCCTTCACACACTGACCATAGTGACAGAAATCAGGATTATATA